GCTGGATTTTAAGAGTTTTACTTTGTCTAGGAATTGTTTATTTGAAAATTGGGTGAGCTGCGTTTATTTGACTTTTCATGGTTTTGTTGTACGTTTTCTCAAACGCAAAAAGTTCATGTTTATCTGCTGTTGGTCCCTCATAAACGCGTCTGGTGTGGGCTACCATGTTTTCTTCCAAGTTGTTGATTTTATAAATGATAAAGCCTTTAGTTAAAAACGTAAACTTATCTCTGGTAGACTCGTGGCAACTGCGTGCCTATCACTGGACAACATGTCCTTTAGTATTTTTAAAGCTTAGTAAAACTCCTAACCTTAGATACGTCTGCAACTTTAATGTGTCTTATTACCTACCAAATGTTTCTTATGGTGCAGTTTAACCCAGAGATGTTCTAAAATTTGTTGTAGTGAAAACTTATTTTGGGTGTAGATTTTAGTGTCAAGTATGTCAATAAAACAATTAATTTCCACTTGGAGATATTGAATATTTTGATTACACATAATAAACTAAAAATCGTCAATGTATTTAACTTAAAGGGGTGTATAGATTATATGGAATGGAAACCAAACAAATAAATAGATAAACGTTGACCACCAAAAATAAATACATAAGCCTAAAATAAATGTTTGATGGATGCTTTTTCTCCGTCTTCCACTCGCAGAGGCTTCTCATCGGTGGTGGCCTTAGGTGCGAGCATAATCTGTAACAAGATCCCCGGTTTGGCCCCCAGACAGCGGATTATCTGCCAGAGTCGCCCCGATGCCATTATCGTCATCGGAGAGGGAGTCCAAATGGGCATCAACGAGTGTCAGTTTCAGTTCAAAAACGGGCGCTGGAACTGCTCTGCACTCGGAGAGAGGACAGTCTTCGGAAAAGAGTTGAAAGTGGGTATGTTGCTGTCTGTTAACGTTTGCTTACAGTTTGAGACTTTTTCCTGCCATAAACACAGTGTATCAATCATCTTGCATCGTGCGTATTTGTCCGCGTTGTGCGTAAAATGCGCACAGTCTTTACTTTTCGTTTTTTTTTGTGATTCCCTTTAAAATGATGTCCTTTTTCGTTATGTCTCACCAAATATAATTACTTAAGTGGTACATTTGATCTGCTGTAAAAATCTGCACCAGACGACCTTCTTTTGCGCATACATTGTTGTATTATTGCACCAATGAGGAGCATCCCATGAGGCCTAGTTTTGCATCTAGACTTTTCAATGAGTAGGGCTTTCTGAGCATGTATAAAAGGTATCTGAAGCCAGCACTGTAACAGAGCTCTTGTAAATGTTGGCAGTCCTTCTTTTCAGCCCAGCAGAGCCCCAGGAGAAAACATTTTCAGTGGTCTTTATACTGTCTAGTGATGGGTGCTGTGGCTATCACTGTAAAAGGGTAGATCTTACCACGGGTATAAGTTACAGTGGGGAAAGTCCAAGAGGAAAGCAAAATTTGAAAGTAGTAAATTAGAGAAACACATTTGTTTATATCAGTGTTTCTAATGCAGAGAAACAGAAGACAGAATGAACTTTAGGCTATGCTGAAGTTTTGTGGCTTGTTTTTTGGCTACTTTGAACTTTTAAGGTGTGTCAGATATTGAGGATGCCTATACCAGGAAGACGTAAGAAGGCTTAATGAATTATATCATTATGGCTGTGACCAGACAGAGATGGGTTTGTATAACAATTTTGATTTTAAAAAGTGTTTCAAAGGAACTTCAGTATATATTTTGCTCTGGCTGCAGCCAGAGCGATTGAAATAAAACAAAAGCTCCAAATACACTTTGACACAGTGGTCAGTAGCTTGGACCATCTGTTGGAGGCTGTCTTGCCTGATGCTATTGAAAAATAAAAGGATTATCTTCTCATGCTGTTGAAATGAAAACAGTGGTGTTGACAGTCTGTTCCTTTATGAATGAGTGGTATTAGTCCATCAAGAGTTTTGGTCTGTGTTTCCAACAGAGGAGTCAGGGTCTATGGTTTGGACAGCCATACCAAATAGATTGGATTCACCGATCAGATTAGCATAAAAGGCGAATGGTTGGAAATGAATGCCATTATTTATGTCTGGGTTGAGTGGAGCTCTGCAGCTCGCAATTGTTGTTTAAGTCAAAGGAGGAATGACCAGTGAACTGACACAATGCTTATGGGTAATGCAAGGTGCACCAGCACTGGGTCTTTGAGGATATAAGGCCTCAGCTGTGTTTCCACTTGAACTAGGCGGTAGCACATTAGCTGTATGTGACAAGGTCCTAGTAAAAAGGTTGCAAACTGAGTGGTTCATGACACTGTAGAGATGGAAGAGAAATGAAAACAGCAGAACAACAGTGAACTGGCACTCCTAGTTCAACTTATACATTTTTGCCCATTCATTTTTTTAATGTCTTCCACCTATCATAACAAGGTTATGAAGAATTCATGCTACCTCTTGTGGTGAACCCATGCACTGAAACCTTCAGGGCAAAAATTAACAACAGTGCAGTCAGAGCTGACTGACTGCACCGGCACACCTTCATTTTTGGCTCGGAGCCCATCGAGTCTATAAAAACGTCGACATAATTGATGCCTCAATATGAGGTGTTTTTTTTTTCCCAATGGCAAACACATATCTAAGATATTCATCAAAAACATGGCAGTTTTACATAGTGGACCTGGTAGAAGGAGGAAGCACAATGTAGGAATGATGTTTGTTTTGAACAAACACAGACAAGAGGAGTTTATTTACACACAGATATAATGGATGTTTTAACCAGCAGTTTCTCGTTTGCATGATATTGAATCACATATCTGAAAATTATAGCATGCTATTTGTTAATCATATTTATGAATATGGTAATGGTAAATGGTCTTATACTTGTATAGCGCCTTTCTATGCTTTTACAGCACACTCAAAGCGCTTTCACATTATTCGGCCATTCACCCATTCGCACTCCCAAGCACTCACGCATGCACACACCGGTGACATCACCGGGAGCAACTGGGGGTTCAGTGTCTTGCTCAAGGACACCTCGACATGTTGACTGGACAAGCCGGGAATCGAACCGCTAATCCTCCTGAGCCACAGCCGTCCCCAATATATGTAATATATGTAATAATATGTATTACATTAAGGGCTGTGTTTACACTGTATTAGAAGAAAAATATATTGCTTTGTTTCCGTTAAATGAGGCTTCGAATAAGATTCATCAGCCTTTGTCTTCATAGTGTTTTCTTTTCTGACTCGAGGAAGGATGTGTCTACGAGTCCTCTTGGATTAATCTTTAGTTATTTGTCGATATTTCCGCGTGTGTGTAAATGATTTGTTAGCTGGACTTGGATGAGATAACAACAGGATGAAGATCCTGATGTCCGTCCCTTATGAGTGTACACAGATTGTGACAGTTTCTGACCAGATCAATAGCCCTTCCTTGCCGACAGCCCTCTTATTCATACTGCTTTGTTGACTATACCACCAGCAGCCATTGTGGTTCACGGACAGGACAGTTTCCAGGTCAGATTTCAAAACACTGCAGTGATATGTCAGAAAGACTGTGATGTAAGCACTGTTAATAAATAACCTTTTTTCCTATTTGAAAATCACCTTATATACTTACTGTATTTCCCTTAAACTGGAGGAGAAACACCTTGATATCTCTACTTCAGAAAATCTAAATGTGTGCCTCCTACTTTTTATTCATCGCCTTTGTTTCTACTCTCCTAGGGAGTAAAGAGGCTGCATTTACCTACGCCATCATTGCAGCAGGGGTGGCCCATGCCATTACTGCTGCCTGCACACAAGGAAACCTGAGTGACTGTAGCTGTGACAAGGAGAAGCAGGGGTTTTACAGCAAAGACCAAGGCTGGAAGTGGGGAGGCTGCTCTGCAGACATCAGCTATGGCCTGGGCTTCTCCAAAGTGTTTATTGACGCCCGTGAGGTCAAACAGAATGCAAGGACTCTCATGAACCTCCATAATAATGAGGTGGGACGCAAGGTAAGTGATTAGCAACAGGATTATTTATCTATAGATTATAGAAAAGAATACAAAAGATGTCCTCCTGTCTCTCCAGAGATTTTTTCAAGGAGCTGAGTGAGGACTTAAAAGCAGCATTAACCAGTCTAAGCCTGGTCTAAGTTCCTGTGAACAGTCCCTGCCATGCTGTGGTGCGGCTGATCCTTGCCAAGGACCTGGGCAATGGGGCCCAGATTAAACAAGCAGTTGAATAAAAAGCTGCCTTTATGGGAAGAGCTGTCTAAGTGGCAGGGTTTGATTACAACCCAGATCTCTACTCTGAAAACAGATTGACGTTGTAGCAAAAGGCCATAAGCCAGTCCCCCCATGCTTTGCACCACTTGAGGCAGTATACAGTTTCTCTGATATTATAAAATCGGGTGCAATGTGCTTGTACATCCACCTATAATGGATGTTTACTGTTTGGTTACTTGGTTTGATTGTAACTGAATAGCATGTTTATATATGAAGAAACTGGCCATGTTTGCTGGCATGCAATTACAAAATAACTCAACTTTTATTTACAACAAAATTATGAATTTTAAGTAGAAGTAATAAAAGGTTTTCCCACCTAAAACTGAACAAGAGACAACAGTAATATAATAACATTCAAATAAAATAAATTTAGCAGACAAGGATTGTTTTCCGGATGTGGTGACCGGCTCACTTAGTGATGTTTCTGCATGAGAACAGAGTGATAGAGACTCCAGTAAGTCTAGAGGTTAAAAACTGAGTGGAATACCAGCCAAACAGCTAAAGTGAGGTTGGAATTAGTGAAGAATAAAGAAGCAGCTTTTCTCAAGTCATCTCCTTTGTTCTAACTGTGCCAAAATTGCCTGATTCACACAACCAACACGTCCACCACGGCAGCTGAAAAGCCTCGTCGCGCACAATTGTACAGAGCAGATCATTTTCTGCGTGCATTTCAGAGCCATGAATTAAAATGGGCTTATCTGGACAGCTAAATTGCCTCCCAGGGAAAAGGCTGCAATCGTGGATCCAAACTTTGTACAATTTTCTTTCCTTCTATTCTCTGTGCTAATAAATAGACCCTCTGTTTTGATAGTTATCCCTCCCACACACCCCCTCCTTTATTTATGCTAATCAAAAGCAGTGACATTGAGCAGGAGTGATGTTCACAGCTCCCTGGTCGAAGACGTCTGGACAAAGGCTGTCACAAGTGTTGGTCACAGAACAACTGATGGATTAAAGAGTTGAAGCCAAGGGCTTTATGAAGTGGTTCACTCAGGGAAAGGTTGTTTTTCAGTCCTTGTTCACATGTCTGTATCTGGGCTTTCTTGTTACTGTTTACTTGCCAGGAACACAGAGGCATAAATATCTTGTCAGTAACTTTAGGAGACCATATTGCATACAAAACAATGAGCATTTTTTGCAAAAAGGAAATTGCATTCGACCTTGTTGCTAACGAAAGTTAGTTTCAGTCAGTGGCACTTCTCATTGTCATCAGCTCAGGGTTTAGCAGTAATCCTAGTCATTCAGCGCCTTGTACAGTCATTCTTGACATTTGTGTGTTGTGTGTAGTCACTACACACACACACACACACACAGAGCCTGAAATCTGATACATTATTTTGGCTTCTGTGTATATGGTACCACGCTGCTATGTGGTGGGGCTGTATTTAATCCCAAACCACAGTGTATTTGTCAGTGACATTGTTATTAAGTTGTACATTTAACACTTACCTTGAAGTATAACAGTTGAAATGTGAAGTGAAATACACAAATATGTAGACAATTCTGAAAAGTATAACACAGTCATGTTTTCTTAGCAGATGAAGCAGTGAAATCATTATTATAGTAAACTGATGAGAGTGAAACTATCACTCATCGCTGGAATGTTGTCACAGTCGCCAGATGTTACTACATTACTAAGTTGTTTTTGTGTGTCTAGGTCCTGGAGAAGAATATGCGACTGGAATGCAAGTGTCATGGAGTCTCAGGCTCCTGCACGACCAAAACCTGCTGGACTACACTTCCCAAGTTTCGCGAGCTCGGCTACATTCTCAGAGAGAAGTATGCTCATGCAGTGCACGTGGAACCAGTCAAAGCCAGCCGCAACAAGCGCCCTAAATTCCTCAAGATCAAGAAGCCGTACTCTTACCGCAAGCCCATGGATACAGACCTGGTGTACATAGACAAGTCACCTAACTACTGCGAGGCAGACCCTTTGACGGGGAGCTTGGGGACACAGGGCAGGGTGTGCAACAAGACTATGATGCAGCACATCAGCGGCTGTGACTTGATGTGCTGTGGTCGAGGATACAACACTCACCAGTACTCCCGTGTCTGGCAGTGTAACTGCAAGTTCCTGTGGTGCTGCTACGTTAAATGCAACACCTGCAGTGAGAGGACAGAGGTGTACACATGCAAATGAGACTATTTATTGGATGGTATGTGTGTGTCTGTGTGTATGTGAGATGATATTTGTGAGTGTGTATGTTCATATCTTTGTGTTGTCTTGGATAAAGTGGAACTGCTACATTTTACAAGAAGGTTGATACTGCAGTCTTTTCAGACATACTGAGGAGCTACTCTACTGTGTGTACAGTAAGCGGAAGATGAGGCGTCATGACTCTTTTGCACACTACACTCTTCACCCCTCTTCTTGGACTGTTGTGTTTCTCTTGGGGTGCAACACTGAAACAGTGTGAGAAAACACTGTCAAGGGAAAAGCTGTACCCTGGCATATGAGAATGTGTGACCACAGTGCGAGTGACCGAAGTAAAATGTCAAGACTTAAGCTATATGGAGATTTTGACTGTTTGCATTTGCTCATGCAAATGAAATCCGGTGGATGTGATTGCTGGGCAGGACACACTGCTGTAGTTCTCACTCCTCATGCACAGATGAAATGACACAGCCATTTGGAATATTTAACATACTGTATTTAGAGAATGAAAATAATTAATAATAATTTATTCTGTAAAAACTACTGAGTTTGTCCAGTTCGGATCTAAAAGGTTTTAGTTTTACTTGTCCACAGTTAACACACTGGATTTGAATCTGCTTGGAATAATGTGTTGTCTTGTAGAATAATATTGCTCTAGATGAAACTGCTATAGGCCTTCCCACCTTCCCATGAGTCTGTCTTTCCTCTGTTTGCTGCTAGTCTAGAGTATCCCACTTGCTGAGGTAGAGACCTATACGCTCTACTGACTGTCTTCAGTGGCATTGCTCACCTCAAGCTGATTTAGCTTAACAGGACTTATTCATATGGGCACATTTTCCACTTTTGGTAAATATTGGTTAATAGAGTATATTTTGTAAAAGCCTATTTTTATATGAATGTCTTATTTATATCTTTTGCATATTCACTGTCAAGTTTTGCCCGTGACACCTGTTGTTAAATCCCTTGTGAACAAAGCTGATATATGTAATTTGCTCCCTGATGTCACTGCCATAGTTGTATATTGCAAATGATAGAAACTGTTTATGTGTGTCTGTGTTCAAATGTCTATGTTTATTGCATTTCATGGCTACTACTGATGGAATACAGAAACAGTAACACTAACAAGACATGAATTCCATTATTGCTTCCTTATTATACATCGTCTCCCTCTGAATATGACAAAAGAACAAATGGGAATGCCACAACACAAAGACATCACTTGGAAACAGTTTTACAAAGATATGACATACAGTACTTAAGCAATTATAATGTGCTGTAGACTGTCAGCCAAAGATGGATTAGTATATCAATTGATTCAAAACTGAAGAAAAGTAAAAGAGGCATCAGCATTTTCCTTGCTCCAAACCAATATAGCAGTGCAGTTGTTGAACTTTTATGCCATAAATTACTTTAACTGCTCATTAAATGTGAGCCATAGGTCATTGCTTTTACTTTAAAATTAACATAAAAGTACATTTTTATTAATGGTGACTAGGTGGTGGTTTGCACCACTACCAGGCACTGGTTATTATATAAAGATAAATGTTCTCAAATATTACATGGTGATGTGTGAAAGAGCTTATCCTACAAGTACAACATGGGCTACATCAGAAAAAGCTGTGTCCTTTGAAAGGCGAAAGCTATTCAGGCTTAATTGAGGACCCATCTCGCAGACTGGCAAGCAGCTGAATGTGTCCGAGGAGAAAAGCGTTTGTGCTTTAATGCTAGGGTATCAGTGTAATTGATGATACTGGTCGGGCAGACTGCCACAGTGATGACTTGCTCAGTCGGGGGAGGTGGGAGCTGTCAGGTGATAGATGACTCGCACATCTGCTTCATTCACTCCTGGGCCACTAGTTGCTACAACAACTACAGTGCAGCAGAGAAAATGCGGGGCAGTCTCCAAGAGAGGCTGGCTGACGTGTCAGGGAAATGTTAACAATGCTAAAGCCCACAGTCGTTACAGATTCCACTCTCATCAGCCTGGAAGTGCAGTCGGGAGACGGGCCCCGAGGTGCTGATGGAAATCCTGCTCCCAATAATCTCCTAAGACTGACAAATGTAGCTTGTAAAGTTTTCACCTGTGCTGTGTTTTAGAACATTTCCATTTAGGTATTTTTCTTGTTGTCCTTTTGAAGAAGCTGATACATTAGCTGTATCATGTGTCATTGGCATAACCTTTCCAGAACAGAGAGAAAAGGACATGAAGAAGATAATAACAGAGGCTCGTCTTTGTCTGACCAAAGCCTTCAGCTTTCATAATATTGATACAAAAGACTCTCACATAAGAAAAGGCAGCTGCTCCAAAAGCTCTGGTTAAACCTAAACTAGGGTTTTGTGCGTAAGACACAGGTCATATTATTTCATGACCAAAACACTTAGATCTCAAAGTCCTTTATAAGTGTCACTTATTGTCACATGCAGCAATTAAACGTTTAAATGACAAGAGCTAAATCCCAGGTTTGTGTGGATACATGATGCTCAGAGGTTACAAGGTAGCCTTATGTTTCACTAATGCAGATAAATTGTTAAGATTTATACTATCAAACCTTTCATGCTGCTATTTATCACATAACATGCCTCTTTTTTTAGAGCAAACAATGCAGCTCAGCTGTCGAGTCAAGATAATCCACCTGCAGTGGTTTCCAGTCAGGTGCAAAACATTACCGCACAAAGGCCACAGTCACTTCATCCCCACTGTGTCGCAAGCACAAAATACCACCTTCTTTGATATCGCAGCCTAAGTCTGACACTCTGGAGGATCACTGAAATGCTAATTATACTCTTAGGTGTGTTTGTCCATAAACAGGACCAGGCCCATGCCAAGATGTTCAGGTGTGTATTATCCATGTTAGCCTTTTTAGTTTTGTTTATAAAAACACACAGACACACAAACACACACACACACACACTCACCCATCACCTGGTAGCTGGAGATTGGTAGTAGCTGCAGATTTATGGTTGGTGGTCTGGCTCACTCCCTGTGTTGTTGCTGGAGGCCCGCCACAGCTTCACTGTCTGCTAACATCAGGGCACCCAGCAGGGAGCTCCCGTTAGCAATTAGCATCAAAGCTAGCAATGTGTCTTTTAAGCAAGATCCTTCCTGCTTTCTGTTTTAATCATTAGTCATAGTCATATTTCTTTCTGTCTTACCTGTTCAGTTGTTATATATGTCTACATGATACTTTTAAAGCTACACATGAAACATAGCATCTTAGGTCTCCTACGAAAACCTGCTGTGCCTGCTAAAAATATGCCACCAGTGAATAAGGAAATGGCTCATAATTTTACAGTAGAAGAGTTGTTAAATTATACATTTTACAGAGCCTCCATTAACACAAGCCTCTGTGTGAACTACTGTTTCAACAGCTTCCAACCTTTTACTCGAACAAGGGGGACAGCACTAAAAACAATAATTTAAAGGAGGAGGAGTGTGGAAATGTGCTCTCCAGTTTTTCTCTCCCTTTGGAGCTCTCTGGCCATAAATCTTCTGATTATGTCAGTCATACTTTAGTTTTTCCTCTGGTTGAGACATGCACAAGCACCTGAGCGCTGCACAGTAAATTGCAGAGCACAGGGTTGTCTTTATGTGATTCCAGAGATACTGTATGGGCACAAAGCTCATTCATGCACTCTCTTAACCACATGCTGTTTGAGGCTCTCCGATGGAAGCCAGAGATAGCTGACAGCATCCACTCCCCATAAGAGAGACTGTTTGGCCCTCACAGGGTCTATCTGACTTCCCATGGTCTATCTGATTTTACAGGTAAACACAGCGGTCAAATTGCTTCAAGGTATTGTCAGTAGCATTAAGGTAAGAGCACAGGCTGGAGCAGCTCTCTTGGGGGGATTTTGAAGGAGCCATTTCTGTGATTTGAACGAACATACCAGCCGCCTTAACTTGCCCTTGAAAACTACTCAAATATGTAATGACGGGACAGAAATGCATCTTTGAAGTGGGGTAATAAGAACTTTCAGTGAGAATGTTAAAAGCTGCCTTTGGTGGTGTGAAATGTCCCATCTTAAAATGATCTGAGCACCCCATATGATACTTTTACTTGTTTTGGGAGTGGCTTAGAACAGGGCTATGGAGGGCCCTCATACCTGTCCTCCCAACCCCACCCTAGGAGACGTCACCTGAGCTAAGCTTACAGTAATCCTCCGATGTCTCAGGCATCCTGACACAAGATGTTTTGAACAAAAACACCAAATTCACTACAACCCTGGGAAAGACGCTTAGGAAATATCTGATCTTCATCCAGTGTCAAGCCGGCAGACAACCAACGAGAGGTTTAACAGGACAGCCTTACAAAGACAAAGCTGGTTTCTTCTCTCCTGGATTTAATAGTTTCTTAATGGTTTGATAAGATGACAGGTTCATTATAACCCTCAGTCTCACTGGTGACTCCTTTCACTTCACTCCTTCCCTGATTACAAAACTTTTTCCTCACAAGTGCTCACCTCACTGAAACCCAACTTTTAAATACAAACATTGAAATGAAACTGGAAAGTATGCCAAGAATGATATTTTCCAACTGTAAATTAGACAAACAGTTAGTCAGTGCTGTTGGTGTCTCAATTTTTTACTTCTTAGTCAACAGAAAAGGTGCACAAACAAGTTGCTGGGAAGTAAACATTCTGAGTGTGCTTTACTGATGGTGTCATAGCTTCCAAGCTCGTGTCTCTTGGCTGAACAGTTGAGAGGGAGTTGCAATGAATTCTCTCTTCTAGCATCTTGTAACCTGTCCAGACATGCTCCTAAATGTATCATTGCAGAAAGCCATGAAACAATTTGAGCTGATGCTGCCAGTTTAAATAACTAAACTGTGTGGTCAGAGCTATTATATCATTAATCTTCCACCTCTCTCCACTCATGCTTTGCCAAGATATGAAAACACCCTCACCTTCAACCCAAAAGAGGTAAAGAGATACCTGAAAGTACTTCTTTTGATATGTATCTCATAATGCTGGTGACATAGGTGTTTTGCTGTCACTTCCACAGACCTTTTCAATCTCGTTATCTTCAGTTCATTCTCTGCTGCTGGATTGAAATACATATTCCAGAAAAGACTTTGAGAGGAAGAGACTCTTACACTGCAACAACATGCAGAAAGGAGTGCTGTGCACAGTTTATAATCTGTGGTTAATTGCATACGCAGGCCATAATACTGATGTCATAAACTGCAATAACCATTTGTATGATGTTTAATGACTGCGGCTCCCTGTAAACAATAGCCAGTGTTGGCTGTAAACAAGGTAAAGGCCTCTGTAAAGATTTCTGACAAGTTGTTCTGTTCATTCCTCTAAACATATTTCATTTTTTTCCCCATTTCTCAGTGTTTTTCCTACAGTTCATGCACACTCTCTCTTAAGTTCCTAATCCATTTTTTTTTTAAACTGAAGCGAAACACAAAGGTAATGTGCACTGGGTGACCTCAGAGTTGTGGAGGTCATTCAGTGACAGTGGTAGATGAGGTTGTGACAATGGTAGATGATCCTCCAGTTCAGTGCAAGGTCAGAGGTTTGTCTCGAGGGCAGGGGAACACAGCTTGATGCTCTGCTTTCAGGTCAGCTTCAGTGATGATAATGAGATAAAGAATAGGACAAAAAAGAAATGGAATAAAGAGACTGTCGAAGGAGAGAGAATTTCACTTTGACTTGCCTTTAATGGTTTTCCAGAGGCTTTATACCTACAGTATGCTGATTTATGGTTATTGCAATGTTGTGTCACTGTTTTCTTTAAAACAGCTACTGAATACAGGCAACACAAATGACATTATTTTTGGCTGGCTATTTGTTAGCAAGTGCCTCCTCTTGGCCTCTAAATTCAGAACATTGACTCCTGATACTGTGCCAGATAATGACAAACATCTCAAATTGTTTCTGGAAGGAAATCTTCAGATTTTTTTGTTCTTTCGTACCCAAAAAAAGTGACCCTGCCATTTACAGAGTAATATTAGCAGGACATGCACAGAGAAAACAATTCTATAAGGATCACAGCTGTAAAGTAGAAGTGTATGTCCTACAGTTTTCACAAAGGGAAGAGTATAAATATGACCCAGTCTATGATCTGATGTCACCTGCAACACCTGAAAAGGG